GGAGAACCCTATATGTATTTACATTAATGTATCAAAGAGTCCCTTGTTTACAGTTTCATTGACTCTTCTTATAAGGAACAAGTCCAGACTTTATGGCTGTTGAAATCTCTCACTTTCTCAGTCCCACTGGCACTGATGAAGTGGTACAACTTTGAGTTGCAAATTCCAGAACTTTTATTATGGTGGAACAATATGTAATCGGGTGTCGATGGAATACTATATATTTACATTATGCTTCTTGACTTCAATATGATTGAGATATAAAGAAGGCACAAACTAGGGATTTTTTTTATTATTAATGATGTATGCCTGAAGAAGAATAATCCAAATATGAACCTGGCGAAAAGTCTGTACACAATACAAAAAGATGCCGATTTATTGTAATCTCATAAGGAAAAAAAACACAAAAAACGTTTATATGGAATTACTGTGCCTTGTATTATAAATTTACACATTTTTTTATAACCTGTAACTTGTATTAATTTAATATCTATTGATGACATACAGTACATGAAATGCAAGCAGAAAAAAAACATATTGTATCTCTTGTAGCAAGACTGGAATCCGTGGCATCAATTGGTGACTCCACCCCCTGTAACCCAGTAAAACTGGGGCAATCCTTATAGATGTCAACTATTTTTTCCTGTGTCTCCGACAAGGGTTTGCGTGGTGGACCACCACCAGTTCTCTGGTGGTCACGGGCCTTTTCTGTATATGCCTTTTTAGCCTCCTGGTGTAAGTTTGACCATTTTGTCTTGATTTCTTTGGTTGATCTGGGGCACACACCTAAAGAGTTGACCCTTTCGGTAATGTGCTCCCATACCAAACGCTTCTTTTCACTTGTCACGGACTAGACTTAAATTTGTCATTTAATAATGAAATGTTTTGCTGTACCAGTTCCGTGATCAAGGTAATTTCAGAGGATTCAAAATTTTTTGATCGATTTCTGGTCGTTTTACAAGCAGTAGCATCCATGTTCATGGTTGTTGATGGTAACCTTGCAGACGACGGATGTTTACAACTTGTGGAATTGTGTGAAATATGTAGGGAAAAACCAATATTTAATGATAGTTTAATGACGCATCCTTCATTAGATGTCCATTAGTTAATGAGCATCAGAATTTTGCTTCGTCCAACACATTTTTATGGACTCATTAACTGATGTCCTATTAAGAACTTAATGAATCATTAATACTTAATGACTCATTAAGCTAATGACACTTTCGTACAACCGGCTGCAGTGCAACAAACCACTTCTGTTTTACTGTCATCTGTATAATATATTATTTGACAGATAAGACATTATCAATAGATTTCATAGTGAATATTGATAACTTGAAAAATATTAGAGGTCGACCATCATTTAGCTTGAGTAGGAGACACTATATAATTTGTCCCTGCTCCTCTATGCTCGTTGTTGGTACCACAGTTTATTATCTTCCTCTTTGAGTTATGCTGCTTCATGTCTAGGTAGACACATTTACTTCAAGTATGACCATTTCTACACCCTTACACAATTCATCAAAAGTATATATGTTCATTAATGATAAAAGGCACATGACATGAGAATGAAAGACCAACGAACCGAAAATATAAAATCTGTCAGACAAACGCAAAAAGTATTTTCAATTATATATTGGTTTTCGTCTCTGATGTATTTAGATCCATCCGATTTCGTTATGTTGGAATTGGTTTGAAATTGTAATTTAGAATGATTAAGTCTTGTGTTTAATTTTTATTGTTAATATGTATTTACAATCAATACGTACAAAAAGTAATCAATGCAATATTATTTATTTTTGTACATGTATGCATCGACTTGATAATTTATTTGACCTTCAACAATTTTATTTGAACAAGATTAAGTAATTTTAAATACCCGTATACTATAGTAATCATAAAAATACTTTAAATGTTTATATATATATATATATATATATATACAAGTCTAGAGATTTGCACAACGATACTAATATAAGATGGTATTATACGAAGATGTTGTTATTAAATCGTGTTGACAAATATTTCGGCTTAACAAATAGCCTTCCTCAGTGTCAATAATTTTAACAATACTGATTATATGTATAAAAATAGCTCAGTAATACAGGTAAGTTTTGGTCTATTGATTTAATCCAAAATCCTGAACATCATAATATAAAACAAAACTCAATACTCAAATATACGTGACTGAAAATAAATGCTTTAAATAAAAATAATAATGTGCGATATGAACTAGCACAATTCTAAAGCTTTAACGGTGACGACAGTTATGATGTTACAAGAACGATTGCGTCAATAAGAATTCCAAATAAACAGCACTGAACGATCTAAATTTGTAAATATTTCAAATTTGACAACGGTAGAGTAGTTACAACAGAGTCTGCGTATTTAAACATCGCAAACAAACGGCCGTTAAAATATGATAATAAATTTTGACTAAGGTTAACTAGTTGAACGTGGCTTGGCACTTTTACATCCCTCAAAAAATTAAGCAATTTAAATTGGTATATTCAACAGATTTTAGAGATGAGTAAAGTAAAGAAATAGAAACAGAGACTGTAATAATAAGTAATATAACCCAAATGTGAAGCACTGCATGAACTACTTCTTTTCATTTATCCCATTTGGTGCCAAAGTTGTTAATTTTCTTATCCAAAATCTTTCCCGAGTGAGTCTATCCTCCCTAGACCAAGCAGAGTTGTGGTCAATGATTGTAATGGTCAGTCGATTGAGATCTGCCTTAGTGTGGCCAGGGGATCTCAAATGTCGACTGAGAGTAAGGTCTGGCTTGCATTGGTAGTCGCTACGATGACCGTTCATTCGTTTGTGAAAGGCTGTTCTGACTCGCCAACATACTGTTTACCACATTTACACTGTAGGAGATACACAACATTTGTAGTCTTGCAATTAACATTGCAAAATATGGTGTATTCTGTACCAGTGGAGTGACTGTTAAAAGTCTGGGTAACCAGTATTTGTTTGCATGTCAGACATCGTTTGTTCCCGCAACCCTTGCAAGAGCCCACAGACGAAGAGCCTGCTTGAGAGGATAAATCAGCTCTCACCAGCAAGTCTTTAAGGCTTTTGGGCCTACGGAAAGCCAGTACAGGTGGCTCGGGAAAGATCTTGGATAGTTTAGGATGTTTTTCGATTTCTTTCCAATTTTCGCGGATTAGGTGAGATAAGTTGTCAAATTTTGGATGGTAAGTCAACACAAAAGGCACCCTCCTGTTGACCTTTTTGACTTTATATTGTAAAAGTTCATCTCGGCTGATGTTGTTAGCACGAGAAAAACCTTTATCAATGTCTTGGAGAAAGTGTTCACCATTGAATGTGAAGTTATTGCATTGTATTATCTTAAGAAATTGGAATCTTGAAATTGAAAGACTTGCTGGTGAGAGCTGATTTATCCTCTCAAGCAGGCTCTTCGTCTGTGGGCTCTTGCAAGGGTTGCGGAAAACAAACGATGTCTGACTTGCAAACAAATACTGGTTACCCAGACTTTTAACATTCACTCCACTGGTACAGATTACACCATATTTTGCAATGTTAATTGCAAGACTACAAATGTTGTGTATCTCCTACAGTGTAAATGTGGTAAACAGTATGTTGGCGAGTCAGAACAGCCTTTCACTAACGAATGAACGGTCATCGTAGCGACTACCAATGCAAGCCAGACCTTACTCTCAGTCGACATTTGAGATCCCCTGGCCACACTAAGGCAGATCTCAATCGACTGACCATTACAATCATTGACCACAACTCTGCTTGGTCTAGGGAGGATAGACTCACTCGGGAAAGATTTTGGATAAGAAAATTAACAACTTTGGCACCAAATTGGATAAATGAAAAGATGTAGTTCGACTCCATGCAGTGCTTCACATTTGGGTTATATTACTTATTATTACAGTCTCTGTTTCTATTTCTTTACTTTACTCATCTCTAAAATCTGTTATATACCAATATACCAATTTAAATTGCTTAATTTTTTGAGGGATGTAAAAGTGCCAAGCCACGTTCAACTAGTTAACCTTAGTCAAAATTTATTATCATATTTTAACGGCCGTTTGTTTGCGATGTTTAAATACGCAGACTCTGTTGTAACTACTCTACCGTTGTCAAATTTGAAATATTTACAAATTTAGATCGTTCAGTGCTGTTTATTTGGAATTCTTATTGACGCAATCGTTCTTGTAACATCATAACTGTCGTCACCGTTAAAGCTTTAGAATTGTGCTAGTTCATATCGCACATTATTATTTTTATTTAAAGCATATATTTGAACCCTCTGCTGTAATTAGTCATATAACCTATGTCGTGTTTAACACATATTTAGAATTGTGCAAGCGTCTTACCTGATGTTCGGTTTGACTTTTTTATTGTATAAATTTCAAGATTGTTATAGTTTAATTTAAGTAGACTGATATATGATTCATTCAACATCACAATCATATTTACTGATGAAGGATATCTGTTATCCGAAATATTTATAAATAATTACATTTATAGTTCCTTTTTTTTGTTATTGGTGTTGTTGTGTACACTTTTTAGGCGTTTATATATATATATATATATATATATATAGATCTATAAAAGTACTTTTCTCAAAATAAAAATGATTCGATGGTTTAGGCCTCATTGAAAAAATCGAAAGGCAAACGACAAAGAACCGCAAGGACAACATACAAATCAAAAGACAAAAACATGTCTAAAAATTGCAATAAAAGTGTATTGAAAAAGTCAACATTTCATGCACAGATGCGAACTCACATAAAATATATAGAGATAGGAAAGAGAAATAATTCAGAAATGCCCATGGACTCTGAAACACCGATTTAAAAGATGACTGAAAATGATATAGGTCGGTAATTTGATTATTGTTTTTTCAGTCGACATATAATATGTCCGTAATCAATGCAATTAAATTTACTGCAGTGTAGCAGTGACATATCCATTTATTGATTCGGTAAAAAGGTAAATATGCTTATTACAAAAAATCACTCGTCATTCAAAAAAGTGAAAACCAGACGATCGATAAAGAACCGACTGCGGTAGATACAATAGGATATCCACCATCAGTGTAACAGTTACAGAACCACACCCGTTATTTTGCCAGTTTAATAATATACTATTCGACAGGTAAGACATTAACAATATACAGGGAATGCCCATCCAACTGACTTAATATTGAAAACGTTAAGAATATAGAGGTCGGCCATCATCAGCTTTCGTCATGATGGAATTTGTTTTCAATTATTATTTAGAATGTGTTTAATACATTTCTCTCTATCTCTCTAAGATATGAAATATTTTCATCCTTATTTTATTCTATTCAATGCACTGAAAATGATATAGGCCGTTAGTCTGAGTATTGTATTTACAATCCATATGTAATCAATGCAATAATATTTATTACAGTGCGGCTGCGACGAATCAATTGATTGTTTCTTTAAAAAGAAATTTCTAGTTACAAAGTTACTTCGTCATTGAAAAAATTAAAGGCAGGCGATAAAGAACTGACTGCGGCAGTTAAGGGATAACACCAGCAGTGTTACAGTTACAGAACCACACCCGTGTTTTCGTCATCTATATAGTATATTATTGGACAGGTAAGAAATTATCAATAGACAGCAAATGCCAAACTAACCGAGTGAATATTGATCACTTGAAGAATATAAGAGGTCGGCCATCATTTAGCCTGAGAAGGGAAAACCAATATTTAATGTTGGCTCTGTTTTGCTATGCTCGTTGCTTGGACCTTCAGTTCATTATCTTCTCCTTTGATCTAAAACTTCTCCATGCACAGGTAGAAAACAAACTCATCATAGATAACGGAAACAATTCTTTTAAGCATGGTCCTTCTACATCATCATGCAGTTTGTCCAAATTAATTATATTCATTAAAGTCCATTAAAAGTAAAAGAAAAACAGCACGAGAATGAAAAGGCCAATTAATTGAAAATCTATCATAAGGACTGTCCGACAAACTCACAAGTATTGTCAATTGTGTATCGGTTATCGACTCTAGAGTTTTGATTGACATTCGCTTTCCTCGTGTTGAAATTGGTTTGAAATTGTAATTTAGAATGACTTGTCTCTCTATATTTGTATCCTTATTTTATCATATTCAATGTACTGAAAATGATATAGGATATCAATATAAGTTTTGTTTTTGCAATCAACATGAAATCAATGCAATAATATTTATTTTTCACCATAGTGCACAACAGATTATCGACTTAATAAGTTATTTGACCTTTTATAATTTTGTTTGAATAGAATATAAGTAATTTTAAGTAAATACCCGTATACAATAGTAAAATGATATAGGCCGTTAGTTTGAGTATTGTATTTACAATCAATATGTAATCAATGCAATAATATTTATTACAGAGCAGCTGTGACAATCCATTGATTGTTTCTGTAAAGAAATATCTGGTTACAAAAATGACTTCGTCATTTCAAAAATGAAAGACAGGCGATAAAGAACTGACTGCGGCAGATACAGGATAGCCACCAGCAGTGTTACAGTTACAGAACCACACCCGTGTTTTTGTCATCTATATAGTATATTATTGGACTGGTAAGAAATTATCAATAGATAGTTTTATCGAACTAACCATTTAAGGTAGCACTACAGTTAAACAATGATTTATTAAAGATATTTCTTTTATCACATAATTTTGAATTAAGTATTATTCTACACAGTTTGTAAAGATCCCAAAGTCATTATCATATCACAACAGGGAGTAAATTGATAATGAACTTATGTAAATAAAAGCACATGGTAATTAATCTAAATATATAGGCATTTGGGAGGGGCTAATATGTCAATCATCTGTTGATACCAGTGTTCAGCTATTAATCCCTGACCGCAAGATAAATATTGTGGTCTTATTTCATTGAATTGCAACAAAAGTAAGTTATATAACATGTTTATAAACAGAGAAATTGAAAAAGATATGAAAAGGAAAAAATCTACAAAAAATTAAAAAAAATATGGAAAAGAGTGTGAAAGTATCTCTGAAAGCCTCTGACTGCCTGTACAAATTTCTTCTATTTGGTCTTCTACATTTAAATACAGTTTTAGGGATTTTAACCAATTTTAAGTTTATGTGAAATTTTTCAATTCCATAAAACTCAAAAATTGTGTGGAAGTGTCTTTTTTTTTTAAAGAAGTGGATGGTCTTGGATCTTTTTATGAACATGTCTTTTGATGCACAATTTTAATGTTCTAGCTAATTTCAGTAATAGTATATTTCTTTTTAAAATACAAATGAAAATTATTCTTTATAGTGAGAACAATGATCTTAAATATTGATTCTTTGCAGCTGGTCAATCCTGTTATTCTCTTATCTTAGACTGTCTGGACAGAGGCGGATCTTTGTCTATATTTAATTACTACATCACAGATATTGGTCAAATTTGTGACGTCAAACTCCCGCCAAATGCCAAGTTAGTGTTGCACAGTGCCACACATAATGCAAAATTTACAGCATTAGAGCATCAAAGAGACAAAGTTTGTGGTTCTATTGATAAAGTAATGGTGTCAGAACACTCCTGGGGTGTTCCAAGTAGAATTTTTGTATTTATGTTGCATTTATAGGGGTTCTAAGAGGGAAATTCCGTTTTTAGGTCATTTCTCAGAACAATTTTTCATGAAATTTGTTAGGAAAAAATGAAAAAATAAACTTTATGGGTAACCCCTTTGGCTTGACTTTGATATATGCGATTAAAGGGAGTATTTTCTACAATACCATGTCCCAGTTTTTGGATAATTTGTTTCTAAATGAGTTTATAGGTCTCCAAAGATGAAAGGTAAAATGAGGTTTGGCACCCAGCAGTTAAATCAATATATCTTCTTACTGGAGGCATATATCAAAAATCCGAGACACGCAGTTTGTATACGGTTGATTAAAGGGATGAAAACAAATTTTTACTACCATTTGACCTGAATGTGCCATTTCCATCCAAGTTGGAAGACCACTTTTTTGGCAATTAATGAGCTATATTTTGAGATTTATCATACCAAAAATAAATACTATGGATTAAGAAAGAGTAATATTTCAGCTTTAAAATGAGTTAAAGATTTTAAAAATCCATTGAGTAGTTTTGTAGAAATTAATCTTTAAAGACTGTTGGTTTGAGTCAGAAAATTCTGACTGTAGTGCTACCTTAACAAGAGAAGAACAACCTTATGTTGTTTCTGTTTTTCTATGTTTGTTGCTGGTATCTTTCATAACGCAAACATTTTAAAACAGGTTTAAAGTTATTGAAATAGACCGAGGATATCTAAAAAAAGTGTTAAATTATGGACAAAATTGCAAAACCTAGAAAACCATACATATGCATCAATATTTCATGTCATATTGAGACACAATTGTAAATTCATACCGAACTGAGTAAGGAAAGACGTTAAGACTTAAAACAAAAGACATTAATCCAACTATGCAATACAAAACCATCCAGTTACATGCATATAATGATTGTTAATGTGTCAAATGTTGCAACACTGTATGTATTATATTAGTTGAGGAAGATGTGTTACAGTTTTAATAAATTTTGTTTGCAGCGTGACTTGTTAGCCATGATACGATCGATCGCACTTCACAATTTTGTTCATTTTAATCAGGAACAAAGACTTGTGTTTGAAGACGGTACTAATTTTATCATCGGAGGCAATTCGACTGGAAAAACTGCTGTTTTTGAATTAATTCGCCGATGTTATTCCAACAACATTAATACATCAACAACTTCTGTGTTGAATAAAAACGAATTAGCGTATGCTGTTTGTCATTTCAAAATACCTGAACGTTATCCTTCAATTAATATTGATTGCATGCAACAACCGAAAGAGATCCTTGCATGCATTTTCGTCAGGAATAGTAGAAATGGCAAAGCAAATGAATTTGAATATTACAAAGTTATCTCGTCAACATCAAATGGGCAGTCATATCAGACCTTCGTACAGAAATGTATTGGACTTTATGGTTGTAGTACAGAGGAACTTGTACAAATTGGATGCAAAGAAGTAACACTGGAGACATCTGTATTAGAAAAAGTAATCAATAGTTACACCAAAAAAGATGAAAAAGTAGACGATAGTGTCAGCAAAAAAGATGAAAAGGTACAGGAAAGTGGCAATGAAACGGATGAAAAAGTAAAGGATAGGGGTAGCACAAAAGATGAAAAGGTAGAGAATTGTGACAGCACAAAAGATGAAAAGGAGAAGAATAGTGCCAGCACAAACGATGGAAAGATCAATGATAGTGGCAGCACAAAAGATGAAAAGATAAAGGATATTGACAGCAAAAAAGATGAAATACATAATTTCTTTGACATGATTCCGTACAAATTTGAATCTACCTCTCAAGAAGCCATAAAAACCTTGAATACACTGTATGATTGGTTGGAAAAGGGTTATACTGGTATATTACCAATGCGATCAATTGGTCCACTTCAATGGACAAAGAGCAAGTATAACAAGCATGAAAATAGAGAATATAATTATAAAAAGGCATGCGACCGTGCAGAAATTTTATGGCATCTTCTAGATAACGAAAAGGTTGATGAAAAGCTAGAGGCAAAATTTTCTGAACATATTGTATATCCTTACAAATTCAGTAAAGATAATGACAAAATTCTAGTCAGTAATTCTGAAAGACAAGATTTGCCACCGAAGCCACTTTTGAAAACACCAGAAGGTATAATTGAAGCAAAGCAGTTGGCCCTAATACTTTCACACACAGAATACTCAACGATAACTTTAGAGGAACCAGATCATGGTATGCATCCTCATATGATAAAAAAATTGCGGGACCTTATTCTGAGACGTATTTCGGGTAAAACCGTTCTAATTATAACCCACAATCCTTCGTTGATTGACAAATGGGCCATGTCAAGAACATTTGTATCGTCAAAATCAATTCGGAATGAAACAATCTGTCATTCAATCTGCAAAGTACCAAAAAAATATTATAAGTTGTGTGAAAGTGATCATTCTGAAGAAATGAAAAATCTGCTTTTTTCGTCTCGCATTCTTTTCGTAGAAGGTAAAACTGACAAAATAATTGTGGAGGCTATAATCCGTTTGCTTATTCATGATGATAAAATTAAGAAGCACAGAAGAATTTCGACTGAACAAAAACATTTTCTTCTGGCAACTGATATTCGCGAACTCGCAGGTTGTAAGAAAGGACCTCAAAAGAAGAGATTTTGCGAAGAGATGGAAAAAGAAATATACCTTTTGTATGATGAAGACGCAAAAGACAAAAAAATTGTAGACACAAAAAAGACAACCATCGATAAAGACACCAAAATGAAAACTAGCAATGAAGACACAAAGAAGAAAACAAGTAATGAAGACGCCAAGAGGAATACAAGTAAAAAGGACGCCAAAACGAAACTAAGTAATGAAAACCCAAGAAGGAAAACACTAAATGAAGACGCTAAAAAGAAAACAAGAAATGAAGACGCCAAAAAGAATAATGGAAACGAATCCACTTTTTATTGGAAAAATGGTGATCTTGAACAAAGATTCATTGATATTCTTGATGACTGTAATGAGACAACAGTAGTCAATGTAATAAATGAAATATTTCGTATGTTTTGTGAAGAGAAAAAGGACGAATATAATAGCATAGACAACTATTTAACATATCGAAAACAAATCGAAGAGTTTGAATTAAGAATTCAGGCCTTCAAAACTCCAACAGGAAATGATCAAACGTGCGCGACAGCAGAATTAAAAAATTTAGAAAAAGAAAAGAACAATGTACAGAAAAAAATAATATGCATAAAAGAAACAATAAAAGATATAGTGAAGACAAGAATTATTCTAAATGCTGATTATGAGTACATTGAAACAATTGCAGAAGCATTAATACATCATTCTAAAGAGATTCCAGAATTTATTGACTTTTGCAGCAATAACAGTTTGAAAAGCAAACACAACGAACCAGAAGTTAACGAAGTCTATAACATTGCAATGCAAACTTTGCAGAGTAAAGAAGAAGACAGTATATCATATATGATCACCGGCCGGACACAAGAGTAAACCTTCTTGAGCACGACTTCAACGTTTTATCGCTCTTTCTGATAATGTTAGTGTTTAATTAGATATTTTTTTTATTAAAAAGATGTCTTAGATTACTTTTGTATCGCCTGCAAAGCAAATTTGGGAAATGAGACCGAGGCGTGCGGTTTTCTGCTTCGGGGGCGTCATCAGCGACAACAGTTGTTAAATATTGTAATTAGTGCGCTGTACATACATACAGTTTTATATTGTTATGCGGAAGTTTATGTATCCAATACAGTAACATTTTTTTCTTAGTTTTATGTTTCTTTTGTGTTTTTTCTTTTACTTTCATAATGTCTATGAATTAAAAGAGATGTGAATCATTTATCAATGAGACATCAGCTGCAGTCAAATCGCAAAATAAATTTGTCCTCCCGAATATCCACACTTTTTGATGAATTCAACAGAAGTAACAAACAATTGCAACACACACTCATTCATCTCATAGAAACAAACAACTGGTGACAATGCTTCTGTCCTCGATAGGTACATCACCTTTCAGTTGGTTTAACGGGCATTTTTTAAATTCGTATCTCCTCTTTAGTTTCAATCTATTTAAAAAAGCCAATGATAGTCAATTACAGATTTATACGTTATATAGTCCGGAAATTTACAAAGCCTCATAAAAAACCAGATGTTCAAGCAATAACACTTAAGTAATCAAAAGTGGGGGAAAAAAAACATTCGACAACACAGTACAGTATACAGATCAGTAGATGTGATATCATTGGCAATGTGACAATTATCCACCAAAGTTAAAATGACGTGAATATAAGAAATTATATATGACCTTATCGCCCACAACAATGGGAAAAACCCACACCGTGTATAAAAGACCCCGACATGTAATATGAGAATCAATTCAAACAAGAAAACTTACGACCTACTTTATAACTATACAATTTACGAAAAACAAATAAGACAGGTATTAGCCATCGACAACCACTGAATTAGAGGCTCAAAGCTTGTGTCAGGCAGATTAAGAATATGGCAGAGATAAATATGTTTGTGACCGATAAAATCCTACCCTTATTTTGGACAGCAAAAAAAATAACAAACTGTGAAAATCAGTTACAAATAACTCAATAGATTGGTAAGAAGCACACAAAAAACCAAAAACCAAAACAACTAACACAAAAACAATAGACACAAAACACAATATAAGAGAAAAACAAATGTATTTAGAACCTCGTGAAGACGGAATAATAATAAAAAAAATAAATGAAAAGTGATTTAAGGCGCGTCTTAACCGAAACTAAAAAAAAAAAAAACAATTAGAAAAAAATAAAATCTAAAGTCACTGGTCTCATTAATCCACTAGGAAGATAAAAATCATGGTAGCAGAAAAAAAACAGGAGAGAAACACATTAACTAAAAAAAGTCTTTACAAAAATAACGAACCCTGGGGTAAATTCATAAAAATGTCATAAAAACTGACAAAATCAACTTTATCAACAAACATAAGGAATGAAAAACAACTGTCATATTCCTGAGTTGGTACATGCATTTTCCAAAGAAAATGTTGGGTTAAATTAGTTATATAGCTAGCTAAACCTTGCAATTGTATGACAGTTGTTTATTGTTCCGTTATATATTGACCAAATTAGAGAACTACCCAAACAGACACAATAGGAAGTTCAGGTGACAATAAAAAGGATCCATCTGCCAAAATTGTGTAAACATACATCACAGATATACAACCGAATTGACTAAAAATCAGCCAAAAGGATACAGACCGGAGCGGTGACATGGTAGTCGTCTTCTGCTATGCATGTACTACCCGCTACACTCAGTGAAATCGTGACAATTGGAAATAAAACAAAGATGGTAAAAACAGTTCAGACTATTTTCACACTAAAATCTATGACAAACGGGATGTTTTAACTTCCCAATTATCAATTTCCCATTTCTCAGCAGTAGTATACCCTCTGCTCCGTCGTATGGTGTTTACATATCTCAATTGATACGTTATATTCGTGCATGTTCACACTTTACGGACTTCATATACAGGAGTGTGCTCCTTACGCAGGAACTGCCCGAACAGTTATGAGGAGGAAAGATTAAAGTTGACACTCTGTAAATTTTATGGACACCATCACGAATTGGTTGATCTATACAATGTGTCTGTGTCTAAACTAACTAATGACATTATTACCACGTCTTAGATTGCAGTTTAACATCTATGTCGTCTGTCTGCTAAGTACCGAACGTGACCTATTCCCGAAAATGGCTGTTTTGCCGAGTGTGAATTTGCATTGCTATGCGACGTGTCTCGGTATTTTATACATCCAACATTCATGTATATATTTATGATGTTTCTGTTGTGGTTTCGGTTGGATAATGTGTTATGTCTTATCGTTTGTAGTCTAAATAATTATAAAATTGCCTTTCAATACCGTAATTATCATGATAATTGTTTGGACCAGTATTGTGAAAATAATTCTACGAATTTCAAGATTATGCATTCGTTACAAAAATACGTCACTGTTTGTGATGCCCTGTGCGTTTTTCTGTAATGAGTGTTCTTGCGTGTGTTTGTGCTGTATTTCTGTCACGTAGTGCTGTCATTGTAGCGATATTTTTAACATTGCCATATAAGCAGGAGGTTTGGCTAGCCATAAAACAAGGTTCAATCCACCATTTTTCTTAAAATGTCCAGTACTAAGTCAGGAATATAGCAGTTGTTATCTTTTATCTTTTTCTTCCTCTTATAGTTGATGTGTTTCCATCGGTTTTAGTTTATAACCCGAATTTATTTTCTCTCAATCGATTTATGACTTTTGAACAGCGGTATACTACTGTTGCCTTCATTCTGGTATCTATAGATAAAAGAACGCTCAAACATGTCGTTGGTGAGTTGAGACACATGCATATTTTTGTTATTCCTTCCGATTATGTTGGAGGAGTTTTTGTATAAGAAGCACATCACTGTAAATAAAACCCAGATAGTGTTCAGATTCACGAGCGTAACGAATTTACTGTGTCGTCCATCTGTGTCAAAATCGATGAAAGAATGCAATCAAATAACCAGGAACAATACAAATATATATAACAATACGTGTAGTTTAAAAACTGATGAAGTTATATATTCTTTTGAAAAAAGAAACCATAAAAAAGGTTTAAGTCAGTAGTATTTTTCAATCACAAATACATATGACTCATATAATTAAAAGTTAATAAGAAATCATCAAAGGTACCATGTTCCTAATTTTGTTTTCAAGACGCACGTTTAGTATTTGGCAAAATATTTCGGAATTTCGGGTACCCAATGCTCCTCAACTTCGTATATTATTTAACTTTTTTAACTCTTTTTTTTCGAGCGTTAATGATGTACGAGTCTGGCGTACAAAGTTTTAACCCTGGTATCTGTGATGAGATTATTCGTCTAAACTCGATTCCAAACATTTGGAAGGCCAAATAAATTAAGAAATTGAAGACCAATGAAAACCAAAGGTTGTGCCAAATCTGGTTAATGCCATCTGAGACGTATCAATAATATTTCATGTTAGGATAGAAAAACTAGCTATAGGAACTGGAATGGCTTGACCTTGAGGACGAAACGTACACCAGCAGTGGTATCAATCCAGTGACTGTAAAGACTTAAATATAAGAATCTTATAATTTTGTAAGCCTGATGCGCGTTTCGTCTTAACAAGGCACACTATTCGCACTCCAATCAAAACTTCTGTGTGGCTAAATCAAACAATTGAAGAGCATTGTTCACAACAAATTTCAAAAAGTTCATCTATGTCTTCGGTTACTCCATCTAATCGTTCCGGTATTTCTTAAGTCATGTTTAAGTTCTTATTGATTTAACGCGAATCGTTCTCCATTTGAAAAACTGAAGTTGTGGTCCAGATGACCGGAGTTGACGGTGGTGAAATGTTACCGTTAGCTTATTCATCTGCCTTACTATGTAAGTACATTACGGGTAAGCACACTGGAATATTTGTAATTGTCTGTTGGTTACTTCTATTCATTATATGGTTCTTCTGTTTAACATGCGTTTGATTTGATGCTCGAGGCTGGTTTCTGTGGATACTTTTTTAGGATAGGTTTATGGGTTGACAGTTTAATTAATGTCGTTCACCTGTTTATTTAGAGAAACATTGAAATGATTGAACCTTTCCATCTCAGTTTTTTTTTTAAACTGGCCGTGTGCGAATCAAAATTGAATTCTCCAATAGCTTTGGATTGTTGATTTAAAAGCTTGTGATTAGCGTGCTATTGTATACAATTTCTTCCATTCGCGAAACGGAGTTGATTTGATCTGTCATTCACGTATGAAAGATAAGTTTGTAACTTATTCTTTTCGATTTTTAAATGTTTTGAATGTTTTTTTGGTGTTTTGGTTTGAAGATTCTGATCTTTCTTATTTTAAAATAAGTTCTAAAGCCGATCGAAATGTGGTTCTGATTACAATAATAATAGAGTTTGGTAGGGTACCTTGATCGCTGACTGATTTGCTATCGTCTTTTTTTAATACTGCTACCATCCTGTTACTGTCACCATTGATACACATGATATAACAATAATTTTGATTTTTTTGTGTTGACGAGCTCTTTACATTCTTTTACGTGCAAATAGTTCCATGCAGGGCACCCCTGTATAGATATTACTCTGCTAGGAGTGTTATTCCGATACCATGCATGCCATTGTATTTTCAGTGCCATTTGTCATTTCTATAAGTTTTGGAATATACGGATCTCTGGTATAGATTGTCTGTCAAATCTTGCTACGAAATTCTGGTTATGGACAAAATCAATCAATTGAGGATTTTGGGACTCAATGTAATAATTTCAATTACTGTTTACACTCCACCGACATGAAATACTCTTTTCAGTAAGAATTCGAATCATTTGGCAACATTTTTATTTGTTTTATTTGTTTGTTTTTCAATGTCGAGTATCGATAATGTTTCACAAACGGGCATGTAATTTTTGGGGCCCTTTATAGCTTACTGGTCGGTGTGGGCCAAGGCTCCGTGTTGAAGACCGTACTTTGACCTATAACGGTTTACTTTTATAAATTTTGACTTGGATGGAGAGTTGTCTCATTGGCACTCATACCA